GTGTAGGAGGATTCAGCTAGATTAGTATTTTCGTGGACTAGGTTTAAGATGGATTAGTTTTCCTTTTCAATCCAATCGTATACTTATTTTATTGATTATGACAGCTCTTCCCAGATATTCCTCAGCATTTATTCGGTTTGAGTGAACAATGATTTAAATGCCACTCTCTATTTGGTTAACTCAGTTGTATCATCAAGGTTGGAGTCTTTTAATTTCTTCATAGCCATCTCTCGAAATATTGTTAAAGGAATTGTATGCTTTAAATCTACTCCATGTTCATATTAGCATTCGGAACAAAGTTTTCTTTAAAATTAACACTTGTGAGGAGCTTTACATATCAATGTGATTGGATTTTGAAAATGGTGGGAGCAATTTATCATCTTTTATTTTTAATATTGAATTTCTATTACTCTAACTTTAAGTTATATGCTGCAAAATTGATAACATTATCTTATGTATTTTTGTAAATTTGAAGTCCAGACATTGTGTAGATATGGGATTGATTATAATAGAAGTAAATTATGCTATTGAGAAATTATTCAACATGTACATAGCTTTACTTTTTAATAAAATAGAATATCTAATTTTGATATTAATAATTAATTTATACATAATTTTTTTTGACTTCTATGATTGATTCATAAATTGTTCTTTTTGATCATCTGTTTAGGTATAAATGATGCGAATTTTCAGCTAACTATTAATAGATAGGTATATGTTTGAATAAAAAAATGCTCACTACTTGATATTTGTTCTAATGTGTATTGGATTTTTAGTTGCAATTTTAAATATAGAGAATATCAAGCAAAGAATTTAATAACCTTATGTTCATATAAGGATTATAGAGGATAGATAAAAGAGATTTTTTTAATCTCATTATTTAGATATAAGAATAGGGTAAGTAATATAAAAAGGAAAAGAGTAATCATTGAGCAATACTATTTGGGATTATGACTCATAATGATGTAAATTGTTTGCTCTACCTTTTCTTCTCTACTTTATTGCCTCAATAAACCAGAAAAATGTTCCCAAAGATACAACGAATTTGAATGAAAACATATTGTATTTATAATAAATACTGGTATTTTCGATAATAGTTAAAGAAAATCAAAAATAATAAAAAATTGTTACTTTGTGAGATCCACTAATTTTTACTAAAATATTCTCTCAAATGTAATACAATGTAATTAAGTAATTTAAAATATCCATTACTATCCTTAGGGCAATCGAAACTTCTCTATTAATACTATTTATACACTTTAAAAAGAATAGAAATGCAATTAGAGAATGAAAAAGATATTCGATAGGGTGGAGGGAATCCTTTGTTTAAAATTATAAGTATTATATATTTATTGTTCCAGAGTTAGAAAGGGAAGCAAATGTATTATAGGGCTTTTCAGATATGAAAATTTCTTAATCAAGGTAATTTTAAGTATTATTGATAAATTCATGAGCAATAATGTAGAGAAAGGATAAATGCTAAAATTAATAAAATTAAAACAAAATTGGAGTAATAAAAAATCAGTATAAAGAAAAATTCTTTAAATTTAATAACAGAAGTACTTATTTTCGATGAATATGATTTCTGCAATTATAAAGGCAAGCAGAAATAGAATAAATAAAGAGTACTAGATAAAATTAACAGATTTTGCTTGTAAAAATATTCAGGAAAAATAGATAGATAACAATTATAATTAGGGTGTGAATGACTACTGTAAGAATCTTAGTCCTAAGATGATGGCTTAGTACCTTTGCAGCGTTTGGAATAGAGTTATTAACCTCCAAACCTTTCCTTAATGCTCTGTAATTTACTCAAAAGAGAGAAAGAATTAATCAAAATATGGTAGGTCTAAGATTAACAAATTTAATTATTTTTTTTTTGTTCCTATTCCAAATCAGTTGCCTTTTGTTTTTTAGATATCTTTTGATACAATCAAACCTAGTTGATTATAGTAATTATAGGATCAATTCAACAATCTTCAATGAGGGTTTAAATTAGTCCATATTATCTAAAGGTAGGGTGATTATTTCTAAGATATTCTCTTTTTTACTTATACAAGCCCTCATAACCAATGCAAATTGAGTATGATTACTAGCTGAGAGTATCATCCTAACAGATACCTAAAAGATGGTTAATCATAGAAAATTTTGGAGTCTTATTCTGTTATAGATGGAAAGAAAATTATATTTTGATATCTTTAGAGTTTTTAATTATGAAATACCTGGTGACAGTTATTTATTTTTTTCAACACTTAGTGAAAGGAGGTCTTTT